TTTTATTTTTTTTTTTTACGTAAAAAAAAATCTTCAATTTTTATTCACAATAGTTTGTTATTGTTACTGACCTGCGGCGGCTTCTTGGGCAGGCATGGCGTTAATTAGGCATGAAACCGCTATAAAAAACAACAACAACAAATTGCTAACCCCCATATATCAAACTTGAGACTCTCATCAGGCAGTGGGTATGACATTTACATTTGTATACATAAATATATAAACTAGTTTATAACACAGAAAAAGAGAAAAGTCAATCGATTCTGATATTCAAAGAAATTCGCAAAACATGTGGCTATGAGACAACTTTCTTTCCCCCTTCCCTCTGAGAGACAATCATCAAAATAGTGGAAAAAATTGTTTTAAAAGATTTGTAAATTCTTCATACAACAGAGGATGATAAGATGTTCCTATGTAACTGCTAGAAAAAACATGTTCATCTTCAACCTCCCCTTCAAAAACCTGTCTGCAATTGTGCAAAGAAAATCTTCCCAGGAGAACTTCCTGCCGCATTTGTAGTTATCATTTCTTAATTGGTAATAAATACTAATTTTTTTCTATGCTGTCCCTAATGACAACGATTAGAACAGGTTTTGCTAGAAGGAAGTGGTGTACGTTGAGACTTACCAGGAGTTTCAGATGAATCTCCTTTATATTTTATTAAAATAAAATATTTTATGGCAATAAAAAAGATACTTTAAAAGCGAAATAAAAATTTATAATAATCTTAATTGGCTTTATAACAATTTAATTTTACGAAAAAAAAACTTTTTTGTATGTATAACAGTTTCATTTTGTGAGTATAACAGTTTGTATAACAGTTTTTTATTGACGTATAACAGTTTATTTTGTCTCCATTTACGATATTCAATTACTATAAGACATTATCTTACCTCTATGAGTGTATAACAGTTTATATTTCCTGTATAACAGCCATTTCTAATAGCATAACAGCAAATTGTATTCACTTTATAGGCAATTTAAGCGTATAAGACAACATTTGCCGTTAATTTATACAAAAAATTAACGTTTTTTCTTTGTATAACAGTTACGTTTGTAAGTATAACAGTATATATAACAGTTTTTAAGGAGCGCATAACAATTTATTTTGTCTCTATATTCAATATTTAGTTTGTATAAAACATTATCTTGCATCTATGAGTGTATAACAGTTTATATTTCCTGTATGACAGTCACTTCTAACAGTATAACAGCAAATGTTATCTATTTTATAAGCAATTTAAGCGTACAAGACAACATTTGCAACTAATTTCTACAAAAATTAACGTTTTTTTCTTTGTATAACAGTTAAGTTTGTGAGTATAACAGTTTGTATAACAGTTTTTATTTTGTCTCTATTTTCGATATTCAATTAGTATATGACATTATCTTGCCTCTATGAGTGTATAACAGTTAATATATCCTGTATAACAGTCACTTCTAACAGTATCACATCAAATTTGATCTTCTTTATAGGCAATTTAAACACATAAGACAACATTTGCAGTTAATTTATACAAAAAATAACGGTTTTTTCTTTGTATAACAGTTTAGTTTGTGAGTATAACAGTTTGTACAACAGTTATTAAGGAGCGCATAACAATTTATTTTGTCTCTATATTTAATATTTAGTTAGAATAAGACATTATCTTGTCTCTATGAGGGTATAACAGTTTATATTTCCTGTATAACAGTCACTTCTAACAGTATAACAGGAAATTTAATCAGCTTTATAGGCAATTAAGGCATATAAGACAACATTTACAGTTAACTTATAGAAAAACTAATGTTTTTTCCTTTGTATAACAGTTTCGTCTGTGAGTATAACAGTTTTTTGTGGACATATGATCGTTAACTTTGCATCTAGATTCAATATCTATTTAGTAAAAGTCATTATCTTGCCTCTATGAATGTATAACAGTTTATATTTCCTGTATAACAGTCACTTCTAACAGTATAACATCAAATTTGATCTTCTTTTTAGGCAATTTAAGCACATAAGACAACATTTGCAATTAATGTATACAAAAATCAACGATTTTTCTTTGTATAACAGTTTCGAGTGTGAGTATAACAGTTTATATAACAGTTTTTTAGGAGGCGTAAAATTTTTTATTTTATCTCTATTTTCGATATTCAATTAGTATAAGATATTATCTTGCCTCTATGAGTGTATAACAGTTTATATTTCTTGTATAACAGTCACTTCTAACAGTATAAGAGCAAATTTTAACTGATTTATAGACAATTTTAGCATATAAGACAACATTTACTGTTAACCCATACAACAAACAAGTTTTTTCCTATGTATAACAGTTTCGTTAGTGAGTATAACAGTTTGAGAAACAGTTTTTAAATTGACTGTATAACAGTAAATTTACCAATATAAGACAAATTTTTGACCGTATACTTGTTAATTCTGGCTGTATGACAGTTAAATTTATCCATTTTGAATTTGTATTCGTGAATAACAGTAAATTGTGACTGTATAAGTGTCGATTTTGTCTGTATATGAGTCGATTTTGTCTGTATAAAGGTCGATTTTGACTGTATAACAGCCAATTTCCATTTTTACCATTTCATGTATAATAGTCAATTTGAAAATATAAGAAATAATTTTGAAAGTATAAGAGTCAATTTAATTATATAAGAGTCACTTTTTACTGTATAACAGTCCATGTTGGCTGCTTTAAAATCAATTTCTCGGCATATAACCACATATGAGTTAATTTCGATTGTATAAGTGTGAATGTCGCTGTATAACAGTTAAACTTGACTGTATAAGAGTCACTCTTTACCGTATAACAGTCCATTTGGACAACATAACATTCAAATTTGACCGAATACGGGCCACTTTTGTGCGTATAAGAGTGTTTAATTGTATAATAGTCCATATTGAGGGTTTAAAAAACAGTTTTGACTGTATAACACTTAAACTTGACTGTATAAGAGTTTCTCTTTGCGGTATAACAATCGATTTTGACATCATAGCGTTCATTTTTTACAGTATAAGTGTCACTTCTTGCAGTATAAGAGTGGTATGTTTTATATAACAGTCAAGTTTGAGTGTATAATAGACAATTTAAAATGTATAACAGTCAATTTCTACTGTATAAGAGGCAATTTTGACTGTATAATAGTATTTTTTGATCGTATAACATACACTTTTGATAGTATAAAACTCAATTTAAATAGTATAACAGTCCATTTTGATTGTATAATAATGATTTTTTTACCGTATAACATTCACTTTTGATGGACTAATAGTGATTCTGGCTCAACAATAGTCGAACTTGATTGTATAAGAGTCACACTTGACTGTATAAGTGTCAATTTTGACTGTATAAGAGTCAATTTCACTACGCAAAAGCAACTTTCAACAGCACAGTGATCAATTTAGTGTGTATAAGATTAAATTTCGACAGTATAAGATAATATTTTGACTGTATAAGAGTCAAAGTTGATCTTATAAGAGGAAATTTAACTATTCAAGAGCAAATTTTAACAATTTAGTCAATTGTGTGTGTGTATAATATTAAGTTTTGACTTATTACTGTCAATTTTTAACTGTATAAGAGTCAAAGTCGACCGTATAGGAGTCAATTTGAGTATACATGAGCAATTTTCAACAACACAGTAGTCAAAAACATATTTTCACTGTATAAGAGTCAATTTGACTATAAAAATCCAATTTCAACAGCACAGTAGTCAATTTTGTGTGTATAAGATAAAAATTCGACAGTATAACAGTATATTTTGACTGTATAAGAGTCAAAGTTGACCGTATAAGAGTCAATTTGACTATACAAGAGCAAATTTCAACAACGCAGCAGTCAATTTCGAGTGTATAAGATGAAATTTCCACAGTATAAGAATATATTTTCAGTGTATAAGAGTTAAAGTTGACTGTATAAGTGTCGATTTAACTAAGCAAAAGAAAATTTTAACAAATCAGTGGTCAATTTGATGTGTAAAAGATTAAATTTCGACAGTATAAGAGTATATGTTGGCTGTATAAGAGTCAATGTTGACTGTATAAGAGTAAATTTTGAGCGTATAACAAATAATTTCAATTGTATAAGTATTAATTTTGTCTATCTTGAATCAATTCTTGAATTTCGTCAGTATAAGAGTACATTTTCACTGTATAAGAGTAAATTTTGTCTATATAACAGTTTATTTTGTATTGTATAGCAATTAATTTGGCTTTTCCCCAATCAATTCTCGTTGCCTCTATTTTCAATCTCACTGTATAAGAGTCAATGTTGACTGTATAAGAGTCAATTTTGACTACATAACAGTTTATTTCAATTGTGTAGCAATTAATTTGGCTTTCCCCAATCAATTCTGGTTGTCTCGGTTTTGAATTTTCAAATTACCATTCTTTAGATCTTCCCATTAGACCCCTCGCACATTCTTCACTCCACCTAAGACCATTGCCCCAGGAAACGAAAAAGGAATCCGCAGATCTTTAATTAACTCTCTAATGGTTGGTAGGGGGAAACAGCAGTATTATGTTAGCCAACATAATAATGATAACCAATAGGCAGGTAGAACCATCAAGAGAACCGGACAGCGGACAGCAATTTTGCAAATACTAACAACAAAAACAACAACAACAACTAATGAATAAAGAAATTCTGCTCACTCATCGGTCAAGAGCTTTGGCCATAGTGGTTTTTGCCTATGGCCAAAACTAACAAAAGAACAAACTTAGGGAACCCGACAACTTGGCTCATTTGTAAATTAAAACGCAAACGTTGCGGACGGATATAGCGCGTGCGCGAAGTGAACAGAAAAAAAATCTGAATTCCGGGCGGACGCTCACGTACTATTTAAATATCGAAGCGAGAATTTTTTGTTTTTGTATTTCGAACAAAAAAAAAACGAACCGAATCGAATTGTTGTTAAACGCATTATCATCGCCGGGGATTGCCATGTATAGGATATTAATATTTTTGGGGGCAGTTTGGCTACTGCCCCTGATCTGCCGGGCGGATCAACAATTCTTGTCGCAAATGTTCAACGTTGGACTGGGGAATATTTTCAAACAGAATCTCTACAATGATGGTAGGTTCAGGAAAAAAATTCAAAAAATATTCTTAAAAAAATCCACGCCTATGTTAGGCTACAAAAAATATTCTTAAAAAAATCCACGCCTATGTTAGGCTACAAAAAATATTCTTAAAAAAATCCACGCCTATGTTAGGCTACAAAAAATATTCTTAAAAAAATCCACGCCTATGTTAGGCTACAAAAATATTCTTAAAAAAATCCACGCCTATGTTAGGCTACAAAAAATATTCTTAAAAAAATCCACGCCTATGTTAGGCTACAAAAAATATTCTTAAAAAAATCTACGCCTATGTTAGGCTACAAAAAATATTCTTAAAAAAATCCACACCTATGTTAGGCTACAAAAAATATTCTTAAAAAAATCCACGCCTATGTTAGGCTACAAAAAATATTCTTAAAAAAATCCACACCTATGTTAGGCTACTTAAAAAAATCCACACCTATGTTAGGCTACAAAAAATATTCTTAAAAAAATCCACGCCTATGTTAGGCTACAAAAAATATTCTTAAAAAAATCCACACCTATGTTAGGCTACAAAAAATATTCTTAAAAAAATCCACGCCTATGTTAGGCTACAAAAAATATTCTTAAAAAAAACCACGTCTATGTTAGGCTACAAAAATATTTTTTTAAATCTTGACCCCATACCCCAGTGATTTGTCATGGTCTATATTATTGTTGTTGTTTTTTATTTATCGTTTGTTGTTGTTGTCGTATTTTTTCAACATAATTATTCCCTCTTCTGAATATTAATTTTTATTGTCTTTGTTTTTATTTCTTCTTCCTCAGCACCCCATCAAAATGCCGAATATGATTTTATTGTTGTTGGCTCGGGGCCAGCTGGCTGTGTGCTGGCCAATCGCCTCTCAGAGAATCCGCGGTGGCAGGTGTATCTGATAGAAGCTGGAGGGGTTGAAACGATACCACATCAAATCCCCATTATGGCAGCCTATCTGCAGGGTACCCACTCCAATTGGGGCTATAAATCAACACCTCAACGTGCTGCCTGTTTGGGCATGAACAATCAGGAATGTGCTCTACCAAGGGGCAAAGTTCTGGGCGGTACCAGTTCCATTAATTTTATGATTTATAATCGTGGTAATCGGCGGGATTTTGATCGTTGGGCGGAATTTGGCAATGAGGGCTGGTCGTATGATGAGGTTCTCCCGTACTTTTTGAAATCGGAAAATTCCCAAGTGGAGGGTTTGGAAATGTCACCGTATCACAACCACTCAGGGCCCCTAAATGTGGAGGATGTACGTTATCGCACCGAGGCGGCTAAGGCATATGTCAAGGCAGCCCAGGAGGCGGGGCATAATAAAACGGACTACAATGGTGAATCGCAAATGGGTGTGTCCTTTGTCCAGGCCAATACCTTGAAGGGCCGCAGACATAGTGCCTTTCGGGCCTATATCGAGCCGATAAGGTATAAAAGGAAAAATCTACACATTGTGACCATGGCTAGGGTCACCAAGGTCTTGATCGATAAGGAAACCAAGCAGGCCTATGGGGTTAGGATGCTGTATCGGAATACCTTGTACACCATTAGAGCCCGAAAAGAGGTCATACTCTCGGCGGGAGCATTTAATTCACCACAAATATTAATGTTATCCGGCATTGGACCTGCGGATAATCTGAAGGGGATTGGTGTACCCATAATTAAGGAACTCCCCGTGGGTAAGCTGCTCTATGATCACATGTGCCATTTTGGACCGACCTTTACCACCAATACGACGGGTAAGACCTTCTTTGTATCGCACACCACACCGGCCCTCTTTGCCTCGTTTTTCGCCGGAGATGCTTCGACGGTGCTCTCCTTAATTGGTGGAGTAGAAGCCTTGACATTTGTCAAGACTCCCCATTCCAAAGAACCTGACGATATGCCAGATGTTGAATTTATTACCGTGGCTGGCAGTTTGGCCTCTGATGAGGGTACAGGTCTACTGCAAGGAGCCAATTTTCGTCCGGAAATTTACACCAAGGTCTATAAACCGCTGAATGATGCCCAGCAGGATCATTTTAGTTTTTTGGTAATGCAATTCCACCCGAAGTCCGTGGGACGTCTTTGGCTGCACAATCGCAACCCCCTCGAATGGCCGAGAATAAATCCGAAATTTTTCCACAACTCTGAAGATGTTGAAGATATACTGGAGGGTATTAAGGAGGTGGTGCGTATCAGTCAAATGCCAGCTCTGCAAAAGCTAGGGGTTCGCCTACACAACATACCAGTGCCAGGTTGTGAAATGCATCAATTTGGCTCTGACGATTATTGGCGCTGCTCCATACGGGTCATGTCGTATACATTGCATCATCAGGTGGCTACATGCCGTATGGGACCAGAGACAGACAATACGACAGTGGTCAATGCCAAACTGCAAGTACATGGCATTGGCCGGCTGAGAGTGGCCGATACCAGTATTATACCCTTCCCACCGACGTGTCACACCAATGCGGCCTCATTTATGATAGGGGAAAAGGCAGCGGATATGATCAAGGCAGAGTGGTCATAGGGGGAGAGGAGGTGAGAGAGGTGAAAAATAAAAAAAAAATACAACAACTAGAGGTATTAAATTAGTTAAGGCTATCTGTAATTAAGTTAGATTTTAGATTAAAATTAGATTTAATAAAAATTAATATTTTTAAATAAAAAAATTAAAGAAAAATTAAAAAAAATAATTTTTTTTCGGAAGACCTGGATTTTTTTAAAAATAATTTTTGAAGATTAGCATAGGCATGAATTTGTATACCCTTCACCACAGTGTGGGTGTGGGTACAGGGTATTATGTCTTTGTGCATTGGATGAAATTTGGCACAGCTCATTCATTTGGCCCATGGACGAATCCCATTGAAATTGGGAAAAATCGGTTCAGATTTATATATAGCTCCCATATATATGTTCGTCCGATTTAAGGTAAATAGTGCACCAAAGTCCCTAAATATTCTGCGATTTACACGAAATTTGGCACAGCGTACTGAATCGAGCCTAGAATGATGTGTGCTAAGTTTCGTGAAAATCGGTTTAGATTTAGATATAGCTCCCATATATATTTTCGTCCGATTTCAGGTAAATAGTGCACCAAAGTCCCTATATAGCTTTCGATTTACACGAAATTTGGCACAGCATACTAAATTGAGCCTAGAATGATGTGTGCTAAGTTTCGTGAAAATCGGTTTAGATTTAGATATAGCTCCCATATATATTTTTGTCCGATTTTAGACAATTGGTGCACCAAAGTCTCTGTAAATCATTCGATTTGCACGAAATTTGGCAGAGGGTACTGAATTGAGCCTAGAATGATGTGTACTAAGTTTCGTGAAAATCGGTTCAGATTTCGGTATAGCTCCCATATATACTTTCGTCCGATTTAAGGTAAATGGTGCATCAAAGTCCCTAAATATGCTTCGATTTACACGAAATTTGGCACAGCGTACCGAATTGAGCCTAGAATGATGTGTGCTAAGTTTCGTGAAAATCGGTTCAGATTTAGATATAGCTCCCATATATATTTTCGTCCGATTTAAGGTAAATGTTGCACCAAAGTCCCTTCATATCCTTCGATTTGCACGAAACGTGGCATAGAGTACTGAACTAGGTTCAGAATCATGTGTCCCAAGTTTCGAGAAAATCGGTTCAGATTTAGATATAGCTCCAATATATAGTTTCGTCCGATTTGAGGTAAATGGTGCACCAAAGTCCTTAAATATGGTTCGATTTGCAGGAAGTTTGCTACAGCATATTCAATTAAACCTAGAATGATGTGTGCTAAGATTCGTGAAAATCGGTTCAGATTTAGATATAGCTTCCATATATAGTTTCGACCGATTTATGACAAATGGTGCACCAAAGTCCCTAAATAGCTTTCGATTTTAACGAAATTTGGTATGACGTACTGAATTATGCCTAGAGTGACGTCTGCCAAGTTTCGTGAAAATCGGTTCAGATTTAGATATAGCTCCCATATATATATATATATATATATTCGTCCGATTTTATGTAAATGGCGCAGCAAAGTCCCTACATATCCTTCGATTTGTAAGGATACATATGTACAATATAGCCAAAGTGGTGAAGTGTATCATATAGTCGGCCCAGTCCGATTTTACTACTTTCCTTACTGGTTTAAAAATTATTTTTCGAGTAGCTATAAAAATTTTCCAACCCATTGTGCTCCATTATGTCAAATGATTCATTACCGCATTTTACAACCGAAATTAACACGTCTAATTAAATCTCTGTCATAAATATGCAGATGCAGTCTGAGGAGAGGTTTTTGAACTTGGTAAAATAAAACAACAACAATAACAAAGAGCTTTACCTGCAGTTCAGGTTCGGCATAGTGGGTTTGCCAGTAGTTAAATTTTTTTATGTCAATATTTGCCCTTAATTGTGGGAATGTAAATAAAAAACAACAACACAAAAGTAAATAAAACAGCAACAACGAGAAAATCGGATTCGGAAGGGGGGAGGGTCTACACTAAATAGTTTATGAAATTAAAGTGAGCGGTTAAACAAAATAAAAAAATAATGTAGGTCAGTTCAGGTTAGTTACAATGGAAATGTTGAACAAAATATAAAAAATAAAGACCTGAGGGGTTTGATAATTTTTTCTATGGGAAAAACAGGGACCAGAGGGTCTTGAGAATATTTTCTATAGAAAATATTTCGAGCTTAGGGTCTCGAGAATTTTTTCTGTCGACAAAATTGCGACCTGAGGGTCTTGCGAATTTTTTCCATAGAAAAACTATCGACCTGAGGGTCTCGCGAATTTTATTTATAGAAGAAATTGCAAAAAAATAGCGACCTGAGGGTCTCGAGAATTTTTTTCTATAGAAAAAAATAGCGACCTGAGGGTCTCGAGAGAATTTTTTTCTATAGAAAAAATAGCGACCTGAGGGTCTTGCGAAATTTTATTCTATAGAAAAAAAATAGCGACCTTAGGGACTCCGAATTTTTTTCTATAGAAAAAAATAGCGACCTGAGGGTCTCGAGAATTTTTTTCTATAGAAAAAAATAGCGACCCGGGGGTCTCGAGAATTTTTTTCTATAGAAAAAAATAGCGACCTGAGGGGGTCTCGATAATTTTATTCCATAGAAAACCAGTAAGGAAAGCAGTAAAGTCGGACGGGGCCGACTATATGATACCCTTCACCACTATGGGTATATTAAACAGGACTATCAACATGAAATTGGATGAAATAAAATATGTGATATTTATCTAAATGTCTACCTAGATATATCCATAAAGTATGTAAACCGACTTCAAACAAATATAAATAGGTCATCCGTTGGGCTATGTCTGTACTTCTAGAAAACGCAACTGCGTAATTCTATGCTCAATTTTGTAAGTTGTGCAAAATTTGATGTCAATCTGACTAACATGAGGAGTTTGATGCCCAATTTACTTGAAACCAGGGGAAAATATATATGGAAGTTCTATCCAAATATTAAGCGATTTGAAAAAAACTTGTCACAGGTTAGGTTGTTCTAATTTCAGAAAGTTTTGTTCCTATCAACCTATTGGCTGATAGGAACAAAATAATCTGGACCGATTTTCACGAAAAAAGCAGACATAACTCTAGGCTCAATTCAGTACGTTATGCCAAATTTCGTGCAAATTGAAAGATATATAGCGACTTTGGTGCACCATTTACATGAAAACGGACGAAACTATATATGGGAGCTATATAGAAATCTAGACCGATTTTCTCGAAACTTGGCAGACATCACTCTTGGCTCATTTCAGTACGTTATGCCAAATTTTGTGCAAATCGAAGGATATATAGGGACTTTGGGAGCTATATAGAAATCTGGACCGATTTTCTCGAAACTTGGCAGACATCACTCTAGGCTCAATTCAGTACGTTATGAAACTATATATGGGAGCTATATAGAAATCTGGACCGATTTTCTCGAAACTTGGCAGACATCACTCTAGGCTCAATTCAGTACGTTATGCCTAATTTCGTGCAAATCGAAGGATATATAGGGACTTTGGTGCACCATTTACATGAAATCGGACGAAAATATATATGGGAGCTATATCTTAATCTGGACCGATTTTCACGAAACTTGGCAGACATAATTCTAGGCTCAATTCAGTACGTTATGCCAAATTTGGTGCAAATCGAAGGATATATAGGGACTTTGGGGCACCATTTACATGAAATCGGACGCAACTATATATGGGAGCTATATCTAAATCTGAACCGATTTTCTCGAAACTTGGCAGACATCACTCTAGGCTTAATTCAGTACGTTATGTCAAATCTCTTACAAATCAAAGGATATATAGGGACTTTGGTGCACCATTTACATGAAATCGGACGAAACTGTATATGGGAGCTATATCTAAATCTGGGCCGATTTTCTCGAAACTTGGCAGACATAACTCTAGGCTCAATTCAGTACGTTATGCCAAATTTTGTGCAAATCGAAAGATATATAGGGACTTTGGGGCACCATTTACATGAAATCGGACGAAACTATATATGGGAGGTATATCTAAATCTGAACCGATTTTCTCAAAACTTGGCAGACATCACTCTAGGCTCAATTCAATACGTTATGCCAAATTTCGTGCAAATCGAAGGATATATAGGGACTGTGGTGCACCATTTACCTGAAATCGAACGAAACTATATATGGGAGCTATATCTTAATCTGGACCGATTTTCACGAAACTTGGCAGACATAATTCTAGGCTCACTTCAGTACGTTATGCCAAATTTGGTGCAAATCGAAGGATATATAGCGACTTTGGGGCACCATTTACATGAAATCGGACGAAACTATATATGGGAGCTATATCTAAATCTGGACCGATTTTCACGAAATTTGGCAGACATCATTCTAGACCTAAATGATTAGGCTGTACCAAATTTCGTGCAAATCGAAAGATATATAGGGACCGTTTACATTAAATCGGTTAAATATATATATGGGAGCTATATCTAAATCTGAACCGATTTTTCCCAATTTCAATAGGGTTCGTCCTTGGGCCGAATAAGTGACCTATGCCAAATTTCATCCAATTCGGATAATAAATGCGACCTGTACTTTGTTTACAATTTAACATGGACAGACAGACGGACAGACGGACAGACGGACAGACGGACGGACGGACGGACGGACATGCATAAATCGACTTAGAAAGTGATTCTATGCATATTCTCAAAAGGAACCATGTGTCTATCTCGATTATTTTTGCCTGTTACAAACATATGCACAAAGACATAATACCCTGTACCACAGTGTGGTGAAGGGTATAAAAATAGCGACCCGTGAGAATTTTTTTCTATAGAAAAAAATAGTCAGGTCGCCTGAGGGGATTTTTTTCTATAAAAAAAAATAGCGACCCGGGGGGTCTCGAGAATTTTTTTCAATAGAAAAAAATAGCGACCCGGGGGGTCTCGAGAATTTTTTCTAAAGAAAAAAATAGCGACCCGGGGGTCTCGAGAATTTTTTTTTCTATAGAAAAAAATAGCGACCCGGGGGTCTCGAGAATTTTTT